ATTTCTTTTTCTAAAAGAAAAGCACAAGCACTCCCAGCTCTTAAGTTTTCAGTGTAACAAGGCAATAAGAGGCAACCCCTCCTCTCCCCCCTTCCCCCACAGCAACATTGCAATACATATCGTTATCACAGATCGGTTCCTGGTGAAGTACCGATCATGGACACTTCTCCTCCCGTGATATCAAAACTGGTGCAACATTAGGTGACAAACTCTCATTTTAAATAGGTTTCATACTCAAAGTACAGTATAAGAACCACATGTATATTAGACACTACAAGTTGACTGCTGCAATAAATCATATATACAGCTGTTAGTGAGAATATATTTTTTTGCAACAAACAATGGTGCAGTAAAAAAAAAAAAGGCTGTCTGACCTCACGAATCTTTATATATACATATATATATAAAAAAATGGATGAAACGGAAATGCCCATTTCTGGGGGCAATAAATGAGTTCTTCCATACATGTGAACTGGCCCCCATAGCTGGCTTTCAAGGTGAGCGGAAGTGAAGTACCACCATCCGTCGTCCACCCAGGCAATACAGTAGCCTTGTAGATATAGATAGGCTGAAAGTAGATTAGTTGGATTCATATATCATTCGGAAGGAGACTGTCCAGCCAGCTGCAAACAGTGCTTTAGACTCTTTTTTGACAGTCAGACCATTTCTTCTCAGTGGTAGGACGTGTTCGCCATCAGTACCAGCTCAACTTAACGGTACTTAATGGTTCAGAGTGTGTGACGAAAGACGTGTTTTGATGGCAAGCAGATAGGGGTTTTTACATATTCTATTTATTGAGTGTTGGATCTTACACACCGACGTCAGTATTCCACCTCCTTCAGTTTACATATGATGAATGGAAGATATTTTTTTTAGTTCATTATCGCATCAACAATAAAGTAACAAAAGTAGAAAATGAATTCATTTTTCACAGTTAACCTCTTACAGGTTGGTTGTCAACATAAAAGATGCATTTTGTTTCTTTCAAAAACAAGTGCTCAATCTTTGCTTTGATTTCATACTTTGCCAATTGTCTACGCTTTGAAGGGCCTGCTATAAGGTTGAGCACTTTTGCAAAAGAAAAAAAAAAGAAATAAAGAAACTGATGCATCTTTTGTCTCTCCTTTTTATTTATTCAGTAAGTTCTATAATCTTTTTTTTTAATAACTTACATCCACTCCTGCCAACTTGTCACCAAAACTCCCCCTTGGCACCTGGAAGTGTTGCCATCCAATGCGGCTACCAGACATGCCATGAGTTACAAAGTTACACTCCTTCCATTAGATTTAAGGCCGAGATTTTTCAGTAATAGGACTTCCAGATAATGTCATTTCTGATCTCTAATTTCCCATTGTGAAAATCTCTTGTTTTACCTTCCTTTCATTTCTTTTTTTCTTTCTTCATTCAAAAAAAGGAAGTTTCCTTATTTTTAATATAACTCTTTTCCTTTCTCTTTTTGATATGAACTAACGATTCATTTGGCTTTCATATAACTCTGATGCATACTCTGACACTATTAACTTGGGAGAAAAAGAGAGGTATCGCTAAAGTATTAAGTAAATCTAAAGATCAGCGTACGAGTAGCTATATAGTTCTCAATTCCAAGACACCACTTGTGGACCTCCTGAAGAAAAAGGAAATAGAATAGAAATAACAAAATAAAAGACAACATCAAAGTATATTGTAACTTTGAGGAAAACTTCTGAGAACTCAAGAATTCTTCATGTGGTTAATGGAACTTTGGACTTTCTTAGAGTGACGTTAGAGGTAGTATGTGCGCTCCGGCACCTGTTCTAGAGATTGTAGTGCTCTTGCTCGTAACATACATATACACATATATGCATCATAGCTACTTTTCAAGAAACATTAAACAGTGCTGGTTAAATCTGAGTCAAGGATTGATTACCTCTGTGCATTTACTTACAGACTGAGTATAGAACAGAAGATCATGAAGCTGTGGGTTATAAGTTGGATGCATTATATATAAACTGCAGGGAATATCACCAGTCGAGAGGGTAAAGAAATTGTGTATATAATAAAATAGAATTGCCAATGCCAAGGTGCTTCTCAATATGCTATTCTGATAATCAAACATATCTCATTTCAAAGGTAGGGAATATCTTTCCAGATTACAGAGGTATCTGCAGACTCCTTTACATCTTGTTTAAAAAACCCTAAGTTACCCAACAACAATAGAGCAGAGGAAAATCAGAAAACCACCAAGAATGCATTGGAAGGTTTTGAAGGTATTGTTTAAAGTGTTGCTTTATGATAGAGGTATGATATTTATTGATTAGTTAGGGTTTAATGATGCAAATGTATTCTTAGAGGAAAAAGTTTGGTGGTAAAGAAATAGGGCAGAAGAAGGTCCATCATACTGGTTTAAGCTAGCATTCAGGCAATGAGCAGATCACAAAACCACATAAAGATAAAAATCATACTTAAGAAGAAAAAACAGGTCCTCAAGGCAACTGAGCAGAAACAGCTTTGCCTACTTTTCATTAGTCACCTTACTTGAAAGACAATAGAAGATAATGCTATCATACAGGTAGGAAGCACAAACCCCAGAAGACTGGTGTATGTTTACATGGAATGGTTTATCGGCATGAAATTCATTAATATATATGGCCTCAAAGGGTATATTTGTTCTTCCCTTGCATACTAATAGAGCAGAATGTTGTAGAATGTTTGGAATGTTCCAGAAAACAAAAGATCATTAGGCTAGCGATGAGTTACAAAACCCAGTGCTTAGTTTAAGGTCTGATGCTAATTTACAGTCAAGCAAAAGAAAGAAAATAGAAAAGAAAAAGCAGAAAAAAAATGAATATGCAAGAAAGAGATAGAAAGAATAATAAAAAAGGTTTAAATCAAGATATGCATAGACAACTTAAAATAAAACAGAATTACAAACTTGATCCAGAAGAGATAAAAACAAAAAACAAAAAACAAAAAACAAAAAAAAAAACAAGAAACGATAGCAAGGGATAGCAGGATTTGTCGGAGTCACTAGCTCAACTATTAAGTAACTCTACATGTAGGTTCATTCATATTTCCAAGCTACAACTTTTATCCATCAGTCTTTATCAATCCTACATTTAACTACATAGGTGAAATTGTGACAACTTATTGATTTTATTTCTTTTTCTTGTCATTTGTGTGTACCTTTACATCCTCGACTGTAATTGCCGAAGGAGGAAATGTTGAGAGTGATAAAATCAGTATTTTCTTTTGAGAGTGAAAGTTCTCAAAGGAGAGCAATATACCATATAAGCCATATAAACCCTATAATATGTAATCTAAGAACATGCTTGAGTCGTGATATACAGTGTTGTTCTCCTTGTTTTTTTCTAGTGTAATCAAATAAAAAAAACAAAGACTTTTTCTAACAACACCATATCAAGTAAAATGTTAATGTATATGATACTCCTCCACACATACAAAAAAAGAAAGAAAAAAAAGAAGGAAAAAGAGCTTGGTATATTACAGTTTAAAATTAAGCACTATGGAAAGGCCATGACTTTTCTTTGAAGTTATAACATCACAATAGCACAATCATTATCAATATATTATAACTGTTATCATGACAGTTACTAGTGCATTACAATATAATAATGACTACTTTACCTTAATGGATCAGTCATCATTATTTCTGCCACTATCATTTTCATCATCATCGTCATCATCATACCATTGTAATTATTGTTATTAAGCAATAACAGTAACAATAATTATCATTATACACAATATCATAACAATCATGCTCATCATCATCATCATCATCAGTATCATTTCTACTCTCACAACATCATCATCACGATTACTTTCATCGTTGTCATCATCATCATTATCATTACCTTCATCATTGTCAGCATCATCACTGTCATCATTACAATCATCATTATAAGATGATAACTGCCCATTCCTCATATTGTTACTACAGTGATGTTAATAACACAAATATTAGTAATGAAACTAATTTAAGATGGTAATAATCATTATAATTTAAAATAAAAATGCCATTACTATAATGATATTATCAGTAGAAATACAGCTCTGTTAATCACCATCTGTATCACTATCTGAATATGAAAAATAAGAAGCATGTATCATACTTCACAGTAATTTTTACAAAATGCAAACACTGTTATCATAACTCTGCATCCCTAGTAATTCGGAATTATTTAGGTATACTATAAACGATACATAACAAGAAATGGACTCTGAAAAATGTGTGATGAAAAAATGTCTTGCTTTATGACAGCCTTTTACCTTTTCCACCGGTGTTAAGATGAAATGTGCATTCTCAGCATTTCCATGGCCGATACAGTCTCTGTTCTGTTTCTTCTTCCTTTTCTTTATCTGTCTTGGCAAGTATTATTTTATCCCTCTCTGATTTTCAATAAATTGTATGTCATAGTTCTCACCCTTACGTCTTCCCATACCTATTACATTATCTGTCTAGTATTCATATTTATATTAATAAAATCATGAAATACTCTACAAGTCAGGACAAGAGGCTTTTTGTATTATTAACCTTATACTGTATAATATATATCATCAGTATGATTACTTGGAAAAATAGAACTAATAAAGTGAAAATGCAAATGGCCTACTGCATATGACATCTTCAAGTCTCACTCAAGTTCTTGTAGGCATAAAACAAAGATAAATGCCAAAAAGAAATGCAACAGTTGAAAATGAGGTGTAGCTTAGATGCATTATATGTCAGCTGTTTGTGAATGATAACCAGGTAAATATTTCTAGTCAGTATTGAAACATTATAATTGGTGATTAATCTTATGGGAGTAACTGATATTCTGAAGGAAATTGTGTCTTCACATACACAAACAAACAAACACAAACACACATACATACCACACATACACACATTATGTTTTATTTTACCTCTGTACTTTAATTTACTTATTTGCATAAGTAATATAGGCATATGGCCAATATGACAGCACTTGGATATGTTTTATCCATTTTATTCAATAAATGATGCCTAAATTTCCCATAATTTGTATAATCTCAAATGGCCACAGTTTAACCCCATAATACTTTGCCTATAAAGAAACAAATTTACAAGCCTAGGATTCATAAAGAAGCCAAAGAGACTTATTGGTCCTATAAGCCCATGGGAGATGACAAAACAAAAATAATGAACTGCATTTCTTCTTGACTGTCAGTGGCTCCAAGCCATTGCTCCAGCTTAATCCCTGGGTTTACTGTCCACTGTAGTTTTTTACAACTAATGTTACATACAGATGACTCCACAAGTGTTCAACCTCCAAAGAGTTCAGTAGGAGGCCCTATTTACTACACCAGATTTCCCATTCCTTGAATTTGTGGGTAATTTTTTTTCTAATGCTATTAACATTGATGCTGTTATTATTATTGACATTATGATAAAAGTAATAACAACAACAAAAATATATATATTGAAAAAGAACCTTTCCAAACATCAAGGAAAAGGCTAAAAAAGTAAGATAAGTAGGACTAATAATTGATTATACACTTGTTGAGGCAACTCTATGTAAAACCAATTAATAAACTAAAATGACAGTGGACATGGCATATATTTTTGCCATCCAGGGCAATTGGGTTAAGGTGGGAGGCATGCAGGACTGATCCAGCATCAAGCGCACATCCAGAATCCGGCAATGGGAAAGATAGGCTTACAGCAGTAATGCCATTTACATGCCATTCTGAAGGAGTTGTATCCTTCACATGTCCCTAAAATATTTAATGGTTTATCTACAGAACTGATAAAGGCTATATTATTATGTACAGACACTCCCTCTCTGCTGTAAATCAGTTATGAATATATATTAGTGAATTCAGAAAAAACAACTTGTAACAAAATAAGTGTATATTTTTTCAAAACAATCCATCCAGAAGTTCTTATTCTTGCTTCTTCTAAGAATAAGCATGACTTTCTATACATTTTGGGCCCATAAAAAAGAAAATAATAGTTGTGAATTTCTTATAAAATTTACAAAATACATAAATATCAATATGATATTAAATATACACATTTATTAATATAACAGATAAAAACCCACCTCTCTAAAACAAGTATAATATTCACAATACTGATAAAAATACAATTGTAGTTACAAAACAACTCCCCTTTGTACCTTATTTTGTGAAGCCCAGGATCTGCTCTGGCATATGAGTAAAATGTTCTATTCTCTGAAATAAATATTATATGAATATGAATAATCAGTAAATATTATTCACATTTACATATTAATCCACAGATAAATAGAAATTGTACTAACATACAACTTCACCACTTAGAGACGAAACCTTGCTTTTTGTACCTTCATATAACATTATAATTACACCATCACAAATGCATATGAACACATCTGTAAGTATTGTACCAAACTAGTATTACTAGACACAGAGAAGTATTATCCTAAATTTACTTAACTTTAAATTCTAAAGCAAGGAAGCTCATGAAGTTGACAGGGAAGATAAAGGAAAATTTCAATAGAGGATTACCACTGTCTTCTCTACGTTAATAGTAAAAATCATGACACAGGATAATCTTTAGTGAATTAAATTAATCATTATAGTTAATCCAAGATCATGGGACAGGAACTGCATATAGTATAAGGCAAAATAAACAATCTTAGGGTCTATACCTTTGATTTCTATTCCTCCTGCTCCAATAATATAGGTAAACGCTGCAAAAGGGGCAACAGGTGATTTCGCAATTATAAGCTGAAAATAAAAAAGGACGTCAAAAGTATATCTATATGTTAATTTAAAATCAAGAGTACAGGAAGCTGAAGATAATAAATACATGTCAATAGTATGTTTATGTCTTCCTTGACAAACAAGATTACAGATGGCTCATAAGATTCATGGGAGTTATATTCCTTTCCTTCATCTTCTGACTTATTGTAATTGTAACTTTTTATATAAAATTTTGCCTAAACTCACACTTTATCAGACTCATGAGCAAAAATTCTTGAAAATGTAAAATGCAGACTGTATTCTACATATGCATCTTTGCTGAGCAAATATCTCAAACTTTTATAAGATATGGATTTTTTTTTATTATACATAGCAGAGATTATTAATATCAGCATCCAGAGTTCCTGACAGATCTAAATATTTCACTACTACATGCTGTTGCTAAAACATGTTTCACATGAGTACCATTTACTCGCTACACAAACCCCTTTCCTCTCAACTTCTCTAGAGATGCCAGAGATGCATGTAAGTACATGCCAAGCCCACTGTGAGTATAGTTTATTTATTGCCTTTACACATACAGTAGATGACACCACAAGTATTCAGTCACTAAGGAGTCAATTCCTAGTACTACCTATCTCCTTTGTATATCCCTTTCTGTGACTTCCAGAAATATTTTCCTTTTTATTTTATATTTCTCTTAGTATTTTAATCAATATGATAATGATCATAATATCTATAATAATAGTAACAGTATCAATACTGATAGCATTATTAAAGAAAAGAAAAGAAAAGAAAAAATCCTGAAAACTGAAGGAAAGGTGACCTCAAGTTAGGTCACCACGTCTAACTGACTGAGCACTTGTGGAGCCATCTATGTCTAGAGACAGTACAGAAAACAAAGCCAAAGTGAACACTACATCTTCCTGGCAGCATTGGACTAAGATCCTTGACATGAAAGTTCAATCAGTTCCTGGGAAATTATTCTATCATTATATGTTAAGACATATTATTTGTCAATAGATCTTGACTGCTATTTTCAATTAAATTTATTCAGGTCAGCATTATAATTTCTAATAATGACCTTCACCCTGCCTAAAAATAAGCTATCTTAAAGCACCAAAAAGGCATATTTTTACAATCAATTATCACACCATATGTTAGCTACCAAAAGACACACAAAAAAATCAGAAAACAACAACAACAACCAAAAAAAAAGAAAAGGGGAAAATAAAGCATTAGTAACAAGGTTTCCACAAAACTTACACATATGTTGAGCTGCAATCGACTTGAGTATCGCAGCCCAAGACGCCACCTGGTTGACCCGAGCTCTGTTTGCCTGGGACGACCCCGCCATCATCTCCTTGCGAGCCAGGGATGCTATGGAGTCCACAATCAAGAGCCCAGCATCCTTTTCCACTGCTGTAACCTATAGGGTTTCTAATCTGTCATTTCATGTAAGAAAATATTTATTTATTCATGGATTATCAATGAGTGTGTTCTTAGTGTACTGCTAAGGATGTACTATGAAACTTTCCTAAATAAATAATACACATTTTTCCTATAAGTAAATGTGATAGATGTAAGAGGTAAGAAAAATGAACTATAATCCTGAAATAAATCATCATTTGAAAAAATATATATATTAAAAAGTGTCTCCAGCTAATAATGGACTCTTACAAGATTACAAAAAATACTTATAAATGTTACAAAACATTCAGAAATATCCTCAAGCAGCTCTGAATTGCAACACAGAATACACTTTCCCATCAGCTAACTTACAATCCACAAGATATGTCACACACCAGATAAGTAATATATTATACACAGTAAAGACTTCAGCCTACAGTTATGAAAAAACAATAATAATAATAGTAATGATAATAAGAAGAAATAAATCCTCATCCCAAAATCAAATCAATTACAATTACACCATAGTTAGCACTGAAAAAATGCAATGATACTATTTAAATAATATATACATTCATTAGAGACTCTGATTGAAAGAGCTAAGAGTGTTGTAAATATACACCATCCATTACCTTATGACTGTTAGTACACTATTCATAGGGCAAACAATCCTAGGTCATAAAAATGGTGCTTAATAATTATCAAAATAATTACAATTGTGACAAGTTGCTGATTGTAGATGGCTGGTAGAGGAAGATCTTGGATAAACATTCCGAGATTCTTGGCTCGGATTCAGGATATCTCTTGTACATTATCTCGACAATTCTGGGGGAAGGAAGGGAATATATAAGTGTGGAAATGTTATTCATATACTTTTACCTAAAAAAATATATATAAACAACAAAGAAAATATAAATGCTTTTCATATATACTTTCATTCTGGATAAAAGATTCATGAATATGCAAATACTATAATTCTTTAAAACAAAATAAAAAATCCAATAGGGCTACAGGAGCTCAAGTACTCAGGTTATGGACTCTGAGAAATACACAAAAACCTATCTGTAATTTCACACATTACTTTAACTGACAACCATAATGTAAATCCCATAGGCTTTCTGAGGTGCCACGGTGTCGTTTGTAGTTCTTTGTGGTTTTCACAAATACTTAATCACCTTAACAAGTCTTTGAAATATTACAGTGGAACTTGTGGTTATGAAAACTAAGAGCAATTACATATCTATTTCCTAAGACTTTTGCATAATACTGCAATATTCATGTAATGATAATGCAAAGAATATATAACATTATCATCTTTATAAAAACAACAACACAGAAACATGATTAATGCTAGACTAACAAACTTCTGGACACAAAACTTTTTTATGGCAAATAAAGTAATAATAATATTATCATTTTCTAAAAAATAGTTTCTCATAAACATACCTCTCAGCCCTAAATGCTGTTTCTGTGTCAATGTATATAACTGAGGTATTCCGACCACTGCTTTCACCAGACAGCACTGCCCGAACAGCTGTGTGATGGCACCATTGAGTTTTACCCACTCCTACTGGACCTGTGGACAAAGATATACTCCTTTAATATCTGCAGTGTTTTCTTTTATAGGGTAATAAAATCTGATTAAAGAAAGTAAAGTAAATCAAATAATTTTACAGTAATTATTTATGCTGTGCTACTGTCATTATTTTTATTACTGTATTCATCGGTACTGTAATTATCAAGCAGTAGTATTTTCCTCATTACTTTATCAACAGCAGTCTAACAATCAAAAGGGCTACATTGCCTGCAAATTCACTGCAACATTGCATCAAGTTGGTTACTTCCTAAAGATAGTGAGAACTTTTCTTCTTCTTGACTCAGG